TAATACAATGATACCTACATCAAGAAAGACAATTGGTAAGAGATTGAATGTGGCTGTGGAAGAGTTGAGTAAGATAAACTCGATTTTGTATCATTCTTATGATGAATAAATGTGAGGTCTTCAGCAGATCATGTGAGTACTAAGTTGTGTAAGCTTCTTGATAAGGAGCCCTAAGTCATGAATATCTATCCACCCATATGGTAAAAAGTAATAAGAGAATCAGAAGGTAGATACAGGTTTCAACAAGTAAAAGAAGCAAGGTGAAGAAGGATACGAGGTACCCAGTTACTGAAGATTATCAGTATTTACATTTCAGGCAGAGAAATATAAGCATTCTGAGTTACTTTCAACAGTAACAGAGATATATACAATTGGCCACACCCATCTCAGTTATGCCCTATGGGAGCTAACAGATATAGTTTAAGAGAAGAATGGGATATCAAGGTCCAGTTGGGATTAGAGTACCCAAAATGGTGGATGGATTGTTATCATTAGCTAACATTTCCGAAGGATAGCGCAAAAATGGTAATAGATCTCCTCGTTAGACACCCAGATGGTGCACTTTAGAATAGTACAGTCAGATATGAATACTAGAATGTTTAGAAATTTCAAGAGATAGGTAGTGAAATCCTAGAAGGGATAAATATTTATCTTAGTATGTCTCCGGACCCTAGTAAAAAAAATAGAGAATGATAGGCATCCCGAAGAGCCAGTGATGTGAAGCAATGGGAGCTAAAAGTGAAAGAACATTTTGTTAAAGTTTTCAGAATAAAGTGATAGACAGAGATATTGGCCGGAGAATAAGAAGATAGTAAATGAAGCATTAGGAGTAAGCTGTGATAAAAGGGTGATAACTGTAAATCAAAATACTACAGGATGGCAGATTTTTTTTTTTTTTTTGCAAAATCCATTAGGCATTGTGCCTAGGGTTGATTTTCATATATATAACATAAAGTACAACAATGGAGGGGGACATAAACCTGACCTCCAGAAATAAGATGAAAGGGCATTTGATTGCCCAAACATGACAACCAAATGGATCCTGTACACTATAAAGGGTTAGACCTATAATGCTGTTCCAATTACCTATCCATAGATGATAGGTGATTGGGTATACAAAAATTATTTGAAATAAACCTAGGTCAACTATACAAAAAAGCACATGTGATCCTAAATCTACCAAAGTAGTGAGTTGGAAGATCATCTTCCATATACAACCAGTTCTACATCTAATGAAAGTGTAGAAATACCCTAAGGAGTATGACAAAAACCATGTGATGCTGGGGGAGAATATCTTCAACCTTGCTTTGACATCGACCACAAAGAAAGCTAGATTGAAGATAGTTCTCAAAAAAGCCCTATGAATTGGGCTGGAGAGTTGCTGCTTCTTGCTGATGACAGAAGGGAGTGAGCATTGGCTTGCTTCAATTGTCCAAGCTATCCTATGACCTTCAACTGGCTTCTGATTATTGCTAAGGATGAAATTTTATTGCAGGGAGCTGGTGGGATTGCTTGGCAGGATGGCTAGGTCTGGATCCCTAGATGTTTCCTACTTATCAATTGTGTGATTGGCATGTTGTTGTTGGTGGAGATGCTACAGTGAATCGGTAGAGTGGAGTGTCTCCTGAGAGTAATAGCCTTGAATAGGCACAAAGCAGCATGTTTGGGACTATTGTTGACTGAGTTCTGAGGGGATCTTGGAGTTATTGTTTGCATTGCATTTCATCCAATGATTAGGGATCTGATAAGTGTGGATGGAGATGGATTGAGAGACTTGGGACATTTGGTGCACTTTCAGCAGAATGAGCATCTGGGATGCTGATACCACTTACTGAAAGTGCATCAATTGTCCAAGTCTGCTCCATGTACCTGCAAAGATTAGCAAACATTTTAGTGAAAGAGGGGTCAATTTCCAGGTTCTTGTGGGTTCTGGAAATGAGTATAGGTGGAAGTATTGGCAACTCTATTTTTTGGTGAGCAACTGGTTGCAGGTTCTTGTGTTGACTGCAACTAGTTGTATGGTTGTTTCTGTGGTTTAGTAGGTGTGCAGAGGGTAAAGAATCTGTGTTGAAGGTGCATGGTACCCTGCCATGTTGTATTGCACCTGGGGGTGTTGTGTGAGTGCTGAGGGTTTGATGTAAATGTTGCACAGAAGGTGAAGCATTTTTGGATGTTTGTGGTAAAAGAAGAAGTGGAGGTTATTATGGGTTGAATGACTGAAACTGGGGGTGATATTGCTGCAGTTGAAGTCTGGCCCAGTTAAAGTGCTAATGAAGTTGGCTTTTAGACTTTGGACTGTTGCTTCATTTGTTGAGGGATTTGGGTGTTTTGTGGGCCATTGTAAGGGGGTGTGACAGTCACTGAATTCAGGAAGTTGGGGTATCCGGGTGCAGTCAAAAAAGAGTTTGTTTAGACTGTTGAGAAAATAGAATCCTGCAGCTGAAACTTCTGTTGTATCCACTTGATGTACTTCCAGGAGAATGAGCATCAAGAATGCTAATATTTCACTCTGGAAGTGCATCGGTTGAATTAGCAGCAATGGAGGAGTAGAACCTGCAAAAAAGAAAATAGAGTTATGTAAAAATTGAGCATTTCTGCCCAGGAACTTTTTTCTGCTCTCTGCAATCAGTTTTCTGTGTTGCAAATTGGGATGGTTTGTTCCTAGGTTCTTGTGGGTTCTAAGAGCATGTGTAGGAATTGAGCATAAGGTGTATAGTGGTGTACTTTTTGGATGAGGTGCATTTCCTTTTGGACTGCTATATCTTTTTTCCTATAATTATGGAAGCTGAGGTGATCTTTGTGTTCATAGTTGCACTTGTGTGTATTGAGATCTGCTCCAATCCATTGATCATTCCTCAGGAGATTGAACAATATAGTTGTTAATACCACACTCTGAGGAAAGAGCTGTGCATTTCCACAGTACTTGTACCTGCAAAAAAGAGAAAGATGTTAGCATAGGCAAAAGTTGCCCTCAACTGTTGCCTTGTGTTCATCATTTGGAATGTTAATTGTGCCCCCACCCTTGAGATGAATTCAACCATAACCATTTGAAGAGGTATAGGGATTGGCATTCTGTGAAGGAACTTACAGCCTGCTGATTTTCTTATGTCTGAAAGCAGGGGTACCCAAGTAATCCTGGAGGACTTGGCCTCTGATGTGAGATGGAAGCTCAGTAGCTGAGGTAAAGTTGGTCATAGTATTGAGAGCATGACTGAGTTTTGAGAGAGAAACTGCAGGACAGTTGCCCTCTCTATAGATATGCGAAACTCTGGAAACCTCACATTGAGTGCACAGAAGCCTAAGTTGAGAGATCTGCACATCCAGTGCCCAAGGAGAGTCATTATTCTCTGTCAACCATCTGACCAAAAGAGCTGAATCTGCTTCTAAGTGAATTCTGGAAATACCATTATCCAAACACCATTGGACTCCTATTCTGGCTGCTTCAGTTTCAGCAAAGTTGTTGGTACCCTCCCCCAAAGGAATAGCCATTGCATGGATGAACTGACCATGGTGATCTCTGATGATAACACAAGCTCCAATCTTTCCAGGATTAGTCAGAGCACTCCCATCAGAATTGATCTTAACAAAACCATAATCAGGTTTGTTCCATGTGACTTGAGTTGAAATGGTGAGATGTTGAAGGTTTTCAATGAAGACATAGAGTTCCCCCCAGTTGAAAGGCCATTGGATATCAGGAAAGTTGGATCTTAGGAGTAAGTTGATGCCAGAGTTAATATAGTAGAGGACTCTAGTCAGTAAAGTGGATTTTGCCCCATACTTGGCACTGCACCTGTTCTTCCACAGGTTCCAACAAATGATTATGGGGAGGGTATCTAAAATGAGCTTTTGCACAGTATTATGAGTCTTCAGCATCCACTATTTCATAAGTAGCAACCTCAGAGGGAGGTTCTCAGTTTGAATGCCCACATGGCCTCCATATTTTTTCCATATGATTCTTGCAAAGTTCCCAAAACTAAAGAGATGTTCAACTGTTTCTAGGGCATGCATAGAACAAAAGACACACCTGGTAACTGTTGGGTTGCTGAACATCTGCACCCTATCATTAGTTGGAAGCTTATTTCTGAGTGCTCTCCACAAGCAGAAGGACCACTTGAAAGGAATCTTCCTATGCCAAGTCATCCTGTTGGTGAAGTTGGGGGGTTTTTTCCTTTCTAATGAGATCCCATGCAGAAGCACAAGTAAAGTTGCCCCTGACTGTAAGTGTCCATATAGGTTTGTCATGAAGGTCAGGATTGAAGTGGATGATTGTCTGCATGATCTCTCGAATTTTATGAGTTGGGGCAGTTTCATTAAGTTTTTGAAGGTCCCAATGGCCTTCATTCCAAAAATAGGACATAGATATGTTGCCAGGTCTACCCCCCTCATTTCTGATGTATGCCAGTGGCCCAGAGCCAAGCCAATTATCCCACCAAAAACTACATTCCCCATTATGAAGCCTCCAGTGGATTACTGTTTTTGCTTGTCTCTTATTGAACATCAATCTTTTCCATGCTTGTGATTGGCTTGTGTCCCATTTCTTAGATATGGGGTTTGATCTTTGGCAGTACTTTGCCTTCAGGAAAGAGCTCCAAAGAGATTTTGCTGATCTGAAATGCCATCATTGCTTGAGTTTCATGGCTTTACAGGAGTCATTAATAGTTCTAAAACCTATACCACCTTCACTGGTGGGGAAAGATAGCTTAGACCATGAGGCCCAGTGGTACTTGTGTTTGTCCTTATCCATTCCCCAAAAAAAGTTAGCTGCTAACCTTTCAATTTGCTTCATGACAGTCTTTGGAGGAGATACTGCTTAGAGAAGGTGAATTGGTAAGGATTGAAGCACATACTTGATCAAAGTTGCCCTGCCACCATAGGATAGTATCTTGCCATGCCAACCTTTGATCCTGCCTACCACCTTAGAGATGAGACCACTGAAGTACATTATTCTGATCCTACCAGTATACAGAGGGCAGCCCAGGTATGTGAGTGATGAATCTTTTCTAGAAAATCCTATCTCTGCTTGAATTCTTCTGATTGTGGCTAGAAGGATTCATGGAGAAAACTATTTCCTTGAGCTCTGTCATAGAAGGATCCTTGGTGGGAATGGCATTGTCATCACTAGAGATCATGGTTGGAATTATGGAAAGCAGGTCTTCCCTAATGACCGAACCAGGGTCTGTGAAGAGGTCTTGGAAGTAGCCACAAGCAGCCTTCCCAATATTTTCATCACCTTGAATCCATTCACCTTCCTCATTCTTGATTTTGTGGATGAACAACTTCTTTCTTCTTCCTCTGATTAAACTATGGAAGTATCTAGAATTGGCATCCCCTTCTTTGAACCATTTGAGTTGTGTTTTATGTTTCAGAACTTCCTGCTCAACCTTCAAATGTCTAACATATTGAGCCTTAAGCTCATTGATTGTTGCTCTATCAGTATCATTGTTTGTATGAGTCCATATCATCTCTACATCCTTCACCTTTTGTTCAAATTCTTTAGGTTTTTGGAAGATGTCCCCATATTCTGGTGAAACACCCACATAGCATTGCCTCTAACATCTTTGTTCCAGATTTTAGAAACCAATGGTAGAAAGCTTTTGTTGTCCACCCAACAGTTGAGGAATTTGAAGTACTTTTTGCCACTATATTGTCTTGTATGAAGTTCTAAGAGTAGGGGGTTGTGATCTGATCCTGTTGAAGCTAAATGAGAGATTGTGGCAGCAGGAAAGGCTTCCAACCAGTGATCATTGGCTAGTCCCTTATCTAACCTTTTCCATACAATAGAACATTGCCCCTTCCATTAGACCATGTGACTTTAGGACCATAGAAACCCAAATCCACAAGGCCACAGTCCTCCATCATGCTCAAAAAATCAAGACTCTTGGACATCTGGTATGGAATGCCACCAATCTTTTTTTCTACAGAAGCAATGATATTAAAGTCTCCTATGACACACCATGGTACACTGCAGTTTGTTGATTTCTGCCTTAAAACTTCCCACAGTGGCCTTCTGAGAACTGGTTTACATTTGGCATAAATGACTGTTAGGTGAAATAAGTTGCCATTTTCAACATGCTTCATCTCCAAAGACAGTTGTTGCTCATCATGATCTAGGACCTTGGCAGTGAATTCCTTATCCCAAAAAACCCAGATCTTATCATTGACATTAGAAGCAGCTTCATGCATTGAGAGTTGGATTTTGAAGGAGTTGATGTGAGAGTTGTCTAAAAAAGGTTCAAAGACAGCTATGAAAGAAAGTTTGTGGATCTATTTCAGGAGTTTGAGCCTTTCAATGGCTCTAGAGGTCCTGATGCCTCTTACATTCCAAATGATTGTACGAATCATTGGAAGGAGGGTTTTAGGATGTGTTTTGGTGGGACGCTGCTACTTATATTTCTAGCAGCTTTGCTCCTGGTTAACCTTGGTGAGGGGCTCTTTCTGGGAGGAACTGTTGCAGAAGCAGCATTTTTTTGGTTTGACTTTCCATTCACTGCAGCAATCAGGAGTTCACAATGTTGTTCCTTTTCAAGATCATCATCACTGGAATCATGATCAACATCTTGTTCCCCAATTACTTCATCTTCTAATTCAATTGGTCTGTACTCATCTTGCTATGGAGTGTCTAGAGGGTTCAAGTGATGGTTTTTTCTGGGAGTGCTAGTAGGAACTGAGGTGGATTTGTGTATTTTGGATGTGGTGTTTTCATCATTGGTGGGAAGGTCTGATTCATTACCATCTAAAGTTGGTTCTTTATTGGGTAACAGAGGTTGGGAAAGGGAAGGATTGACTATTACTGAATTCCTGTAAACAGGGGATTCCTCTGTTGCATTAGGATCAGGCCTGAATTTTTTCTGGATTGTTGGGCTCAAAAACTGGGTACTATCAGGTGGTTCATTGATGTTGATTCCTGTATTTTGTTTCCTCATTTCTTGCCTTCTCTTTTGATTGGGTTTATTTTTTGGTTTAAGAGGTTGTATGTTGAAATCAGTTGCCTTAGATTTTCCTTTCATTAGCCTCCTGATATGATCATCATCCTGAACTGAGAATTCCTCTTCAGAACTAGTAACATCACAATGCTCAGGTTCCTCAAAGAAATGGACATAATGAGGATCATGGCTGGGAACAGTGGTAGCAGGGGTTTGACAGTCCAACCTAGGGTCAGCCAATTGTGCACTTGCACACTCATGCAAAACATGAGGAACTCCTACGCCTGAAGGTACCCCTTCCTATATTTCTATAGGTTTCCCCTGACAATTCTCCATCCCTCCTTGAGCTTCTTTATCAGATAGAACAACAGGGGGGGATTGGGGTTGGGATACAGGATTCTAGGCACCAGAATCATTCACAACTGCATTAGCAGTTACAGGAAGAGCACTGCCTGAATGCTGATTGGAGTTAATCAGTTGATCAGATGCAGGAACTGCATTAGCATTTACATGAACAGCTGATTGATTTGGTTGTTGTCTTGGCATGTAAACCTGCTGCTGCTTCTTATTTTGAGAGTTCCCTTTGAAATTTTTTCTTTTTTGTGTTTGCCAGTCATCTTTTGGTGGAGCTGTTTCTTCATTTTGAACTTGATTCTCCTTTTGGTGTTCTGCTGCCTTTGAGTTACTAGTTTGGTCTTGCCCACCTCTTTTGATTTTTTCTTGTTGCTTGTTATGTTGATGTTATTTACTGGTGGAGGGGTTTTCTGTGGATTTCTGTTGGAGATTGGATTGAGAGGTTGATGCTGTGCCTTCTTTTTCTTCCTTTTTTCTCTGATTTTCAATATCCCCGAACTTGACTGGGCAGGCTTGCACTGAGTGACCAAGGTGTCTGTAGCGGGTGCAATAGTAGGAAGGTTGTCATATTGAACTTCAAGCCATTGACCATCACCATTTACATCTTGATCTTCATCATATCCTAACCAAACATGAGTTGCTCTTTCCTTAGTGAGGTCAATCTGCATCTTTACCTTAACAACACTGCCTCTAGTCTTCTGAAAAGATGCTAGATCAAGGAATAGAGCCTTTCCTACTGGAGATAACAAAGAAGTGAGTATCTCCATATAGTAGAGGTGCCATGGCAATTCAAGTATCATAACCCATATTGGAACAATTGGAGAGTCCTCATTGGGCTTGAAGATAGGGTTCCATGCTTCAATTCTCATCATTTGACCTTGAATGTACATGAATTGTTTAGACCAAACAGTAGAATGGTCATATTCATTGTCAAGGTCAATGTACACTGTCTTTGCATTGAGGTGGGCTATTTTAACTCCTCCCTTGAGTTCAGTCTGAGCAATAAAGCTCTTCCTGATGACTTCCATCCTTGGCATAGTGTGCTGAAATTTACCAACAACTGTGAACTTACATCTATCAGCAAATGTGACCATATAGTCCTCCTTTTTAAAGATCACAACAGGTTTACCCTGCTTGGTTGTGATAACTGGTGATGTGAACTTTAATGGAGCAATCTCAGTTTCATGCCTGGCCCTCAGTCTTGTAGCATATGAGTGAGTAACTATTGGGGGTGGTGGGGGGGCTTGATTTGCTGACTGCTGAGGTTTATTTTGATTGGTAGGAGGCTGGGGATTGGTGTTGGTGGGATTGTTTGGGAGTGTGGGTTGAGCAGGTGGTGCTGGGAATTTACCATTTTTCTTTTGGTTTTTCTTTGGATTGTTTGGTTTATCAAAGTTTGAGGACACTTTAGGTGGTGTAGCAGGGTTGCTGTTGGATAGTTGCTGAGCTGAGGTTTTAATGTGATCAATATTTTGGACAGGTGCAGGAGATGAAGTGTTACCAATTGTTATCTGAGATTGGTTCTGTGGCTCAAAATTATTCAATTGATATTCAGATAATTGCCCAAGAGGCTCAAGGACGTTGGTGTGCACAGGCAGTTGCACAGCTGAAGAGGGCAGCAATTAGGCAGAGTTTTTTTGAAATGTTCCTTGCAATGTCTTTTGACGAGCAGCTTCCTGGAGCTCATGTGAAGCTTGTACATCAGTTTGATCACCTATTTGAGCTTCACAAATGGACTTGGCAATTGGTCGAGCACCTAAGGAACTTAACACTATAGATTCACCATTTTGAATATTCGAGGAGCTTGGCTCAATTATAATTGAGTTTGAAGGGTGGGAAACAGTCTCATGAGCTGCAGGAGTAGTTTGGCATTGGTTTTGGTTCAATTGGTTCACCGGAACACCATGCACGGCCAACTGTTGAACTTCTGAACTTCTCAATTGATCGTGGTGATCAGTTGGTGTGTTTGATTGACTTGAAACTTTGCAAACCTATTCTTTAGATGATGTGGAGGGATTACCAATTAGTGGTTGTGAACGGAATGGCCCAGAAGCGAGGGTGTCATTTTGTCGAGCACATGAAGAAGTTGAGCTGCCTGGGATCAAGGATTGCAAGATTGAACCAGTTGATTGATACCCATATAAAATTGATGGCACTAAACTATTGTCCTCATCAATACGAGCCTTTTGGTACCAAGCATTTTCAATTTGACCGGCTGAAGCTCCATTTCCGGTCACCGGAATTTTTTTGTAGATCGTTGGTAGTGATTCCCACGGTGGAATTGGCTAATTTTTGGTATGGAGGTGCACCTTGTGATGGAGAACATTCTCTAGAGTAGAATTCCATTTTTTGACCCAAAATCGCCATGGGAATTTTCAAAGCTCATAGGTAATTTTTTGCTACAGTGACCTCGACGCCCTTTTGAAGATTCGTAGCAATTAGGATAGAAACTTGGACAGATTCATGTACGTTTGTGTGCGCCTTTGAGAGATGCTTCTTTTTCATCTTGTCCGGTGGTTTTCCACTGGTGGAGGACGGAACAGTGGCCATTTGACCACTGCCGTGTTACTGTAGCGATATATCGCGTGTACGGAGAGAATTTTTTATTTTGGGCGTCGGTTAAATTAGGGATGATGGCAGATTCTATAGTCAAGTGAAGGAAAGGACAAGAGGTGACAGTCCTTGACAATAGTGTATAAGCCATAAAGTCATATCCTCATTTCGAGAAATGAGTTGGCGACACCAACGTGATTACCAGAAGAAAAAGTTAGACCCTTGGAGTTATAGAAATGTAACGACCCGACCGGTCGTTTTGAGCATTTGCACTTCGCTCGCTAGTTCTCGGGCATGACTAGCCCCATAAGGTCTATTATGACTTATGTAAATCGTCGGTTTTGGTTTTTAGGTTAATCGGAATAGATATGGAAGAATGATTCTCAGCTGGAAGCTTTAAATTTGAAAGGTTTGACCCAGTCTTGACTTTTTATTATTCGATCTCGGATTTAGATTTTTATGATTTGGTTAGCTCTATTAGGTGATTTTGGACTTAGGAGCGTGAGCAATTTGGAGGTCCGTGGTAGATTTAGGCTTGAATTGGCGAAAATGGAATTTTGGCGTTTTCCGATTAGTAGTGGAAATCTTGATATCAGGGCCGAAACGGAATTCCGGAAATTGGAGTAGGTCCGTTGTGTCATTTGGGATGTGTGTGCAAAAATTTCAGGTCATTCGGAGGTGATTTGATAGGTTTCGCCGTTGTTTGTGGAATTTGGAAGTTTCTAAGCTCTTAGGCTTGAATCCTAGGTCGATTTGGTGTTGTTTTGAGTGATTCGAAGGCCAGACTAAGTTTGAATGATGTTATGGGATGTGTTGGCATGTTTGGTTGAGGTCCCGAGGGTCTCGGGTGTGTTTCAGGTGAGTTTTGGGCGAGTCCGGGCATTTTTGGAACTCAGGCATGGTTCTGGCATTTGTTTTTCGCTGTGGGGGAAGGGATTTTCCGCTGAGGGAGATGGATTTTCGCTGAGGCGGAGTAGGGAGCGCTGAGGCGGAAAATGGGGCGCTGAGGCGCTCCAGGGAAAGAATCCGCAGGTTCATTGGTACAACTTCGGAAGCTTATATCTTTTGATCTACAAGGACTTTTGAGATGATTTAAAAAGAAAAGTTGTAGTCCTTCGTGTCTAGTTTCCAGAAAGTTAAAGAAATCATAATTTGGACATCTGTAGAGAAAGTTATGGCCAAAATACTAAGGCCTGTCTGTGCAGCCACCAGAAGCGCGGTCAGCGGTGATTTACCGCGGTCAGCGGTGATGGGAATCTGAAAGGTGCACTATAAAAACGAGATTTGGGGTTTTATTTCATATTTTGACCTAGAGAGCTTAGGCTTTGGCGATTTTTTGAGGGATTTTCAAGA